CCTGCTGTGGTCTTGAATGACAGATATTTTGTCTATTCAAATCCATTTATCCCCGAACCATCCGAAAGTTTCTACGTGTTGTAGTAGAAATACGTATTGTAATAAAAATTGACAATCAGCCCAATTGTTGGGGGTTGAGTGTTGATTTTCACAAAGATGGAAACTGACTTAAATGACTTCCTACAGTTTTTTCGGTTATGAGTGGTGGGGACAGGGAAGAGGACAGGGTCTGTGTGGAGAAGAGAGAAAGAAGGATGACGATGTCTCACGTGTCTTTTTTCGGACAGATTTTGGGTCGGCTACTGCTTCCGCTTCGGACAAGCATCCTGCGGGCACCCCGTATAGATCGGGGCTTACCTCAACAGCACACATCACTTTTTCAGTTTGATATAATAAGCTGACGATGTCGATTTCTGCTTCTAGGATTTGAAAACTATGCGGTAAGTAGGAAAAAGGGCCCCATTATCGTGTATTTTCCAGCTCTTTTTGTTCTTCAATCCTGAGCAACGAAGGAACCTGATCCGGTGCAGTTTGCAGCAGATATCGTCTGGGAGTCGCACCGCAAAAGCGAGGCGCGTATCCAAACTTGACCGTCTCGTGGAAACGATCCGCCGCCTTGTTTTATGCTGCCCAAGGTAAACAATTTGCTTGTGAGGGTGACGTACGCATTGATTGCCGAATCCCTGCCCATTTTCTTACCATGGGAATGGTTGAATCTAACTGGTGCTTGATTGTTCAAAGCGGTACAGAGCACGCTCAGCCCAGGTTATTATTTATTTCCTGCCAGTGCTGCCCTAGCCCCATCAAGGCGGGAAAGCGAACAGTGCAGTGGAGGCCTGAAGAAGATGCCCGAAGTCCAGATCAGACCATATGCCTGGCATGGCAACGCGAGGTTGGCTAGAGCAGGGCAGGGCAGGACAGACCAGTGGAAAGCCAGGCTGGGCAGCCCACGCAGCAGCAATTCGACAGCAATGCCACTTTTCACCAAATCGTCACTCCATCAGTTGTCTGTGACAGCGTTGCACTATCTCTCATTGCCAAGCTTTGGTGCCTCAAATCGTTGCACTTCACATCACACAGACTGGCTCCACTCAAGGTGTGCAGCCATCAAGAAGTTTTTCGTCAGACAAATCCGCATTGCATTCTGCTCATTCTGCATCCGCCTAAAACATCCTTTCATTCGCCGTCTCGCCCTCCCAAACAAATAGAGCTGCTTCGCCGGATCAACAGCAGCCATTTTACCTCTCACCACCGTCGGTTTCTCCTCTACAGCACTTATCGCATACCGCACCGAGTATATCCGTCCACCTCGCCGCTCGCTTTTACGTCCATTATTCGCACGTATCTACCCTGCTGCTTCCTAACAAAGATTCAATATGTGTCATCCGCCGTCGCGTCCGCTTCGCCAGTCCGCACTCCTCTCGAGCACGACACAAAACGCCAACCACTGGCGGCAAACACCTCACGACGAAGACTACCTCCAACACGTCTCGTCGGACGATTACTACCACAATCAGCGCCATCATGGCGATGATAAGCAGTATCGGCATCAGAATGAGTTCGGTGAGGATCATCTGAGTTTCTGTTCGGAGCACGAGCGTGCGCATCTGATGAGTCATCAGTTGTCGGCATCGGCTCCTGCAAGCCCCGAATCTTCGCGTCGTCAACGGGTCTATCATTTCGTGACGGCGTCTCAGTCTGCTCACGGTCGCGCCGGCGGCGGTAGTGACGCGGTCTGCAAACCGCCGCCTGCAGCCGGACGTCTGCTCGTTCGTGGAGGCAAGCTCGTGCCGCATCCTTCCACGCCGTGTCAGTCGTCGCTTATGGCGCCGCCGCAAGTTACGACGGCGAAGACGCCGCAAGTTTCGGCTGCAAAGACACCGCCCCAACAGCGGCGTTTGAGGCAAGTTAGGCCGTTACGCCAGCGCGAATCGCCTCAAGCCACTTCGCGGCCAGTTGCGCCACCGCGCGCGTCGGGGCCGCGGCTTACGCCGCCGCCACCATCGATATCATCCTCTCCGTCGTTCGCGACGCCTCCTCCCCATTCATCTCCGCCTTTTGCTCCTCCCAAGCCATCGCTGTCGTTTTCGCCTGTTCCCAAGCGGCTTGTCTCACCAAATCAGCGCCCGCCCTTGCCGAACCAAAAAGGGCAAGTTCCGCACGAAAAGCTCCGCCTTCCGAACCAGCCGACTCCGCCTCCCCATGCCACTCAACGTCGCTCTCCGCCGATCTCTTCGCCAACTCCGCCGTCGCGCCATGCTTCCGCGCCGCGAGCATTTCCACATTTTCGGCAATCACCACCGAGCCCGCCGCTTTCCCCCGACGCTCCGAATACGACTCTTGGTGACGGAGATGTGTTTTTTGCGCCTTCTCCGCCAGCCTCGGCGCCGCGCACTGGCTTCAGGTCGGGCCAGCGGCGACCGTGCTTCCGCCCGTCCGCGGGTGGCGGAGACCGCTGCATTCAGCGGTGCAATAGCGACAATCACATGGAGCGGACTCGGCGCGCTGCTGGTTCGCGTCATCCAGTCAGGAGGTGCGGGGGATGTGAGGTCGAGGAACAGTGCGAGTCGCGGTTGGAACAGGCGCTTCTGTCCCCCTGCAGATCGTGTGTGACGGCTCCCGCGTGCAGGAGGTGGCCTCATTCCTCATCTCCATCCTCGTCTTCAGCTGCCCCATTATCGTCGCCTACTACAGCAACTGCGGAGTTCTTTGATCAGCATGAAGTTTTTTCTGCGGTTTTCACTGAAAGTCCATCGTTTTTGGAAGAGGATACCACCAAGTTCAGCAGCAATGGCGTCGTGAAACCCTACAGCTCTCCTTCCTCGAGCTCTAGCAAGCTACATAATAAGCCTGTATCCGGAAATAATTTGCGGCGAGTTAGGTTTGACATGGCCGCCGAAGTGCTTTGCGTTTGAGAGCGTGTCGAGGCAGGTGATGAGCGTAAATTTCGGTTTACCCATTTTTTTGGATGCCTTAGGAAAAAAGATCCGTTTCCGTTTATAAATGACTTTGTAATGCTGCTCCATGTATAAAGAGGGTGTTTCGCTATTCCTGATTATCTGCTAACCTAGCATCCACAAACAATTAGCCTCGCTAGTGGGAGCGTACGCCACACAAAAACCCTCACAGTTGTCAGGGTCAGCACAGCCTACAGGGGTTTAGTAGTTGGTTCGAGCTGCTGAAGAACCTTCGCTAACTGGATAACTTGTCCACAATGGCGGCCGACGCGTGCACGAAACCCGCGCATCTTGACGGCGCTTCCGCCCCTGCGCCTTCAACTCCAGATAGATTAAGGTTTTCCGGAGCAGCAGAGGCAGTAGAGAGGGGGAACTCAGAGGGTGGATTAGGGCTTTCTCGCGCGGTCGAGGCGGCGCGATCTGCGATCGGGCGCGCGGTGGAGTTGGAGCTCTTAAACGACTTGCGGATTAAAGGCGTGCTTTCAGACTGCGATCACAGGCTCAAGTGCGTTGCATTATTTATTATTGACCATAAAAACACTTGCACTTGCGATACAGTCAGATTTTGCTCTGGTTTCACATTGCACTGCTTGAAATCCCTAATCCCTGAGAAAGCACTACGAGGGAGACAGGTTTTGCCGAGTTTTCCCTTTGAATGGGATCCGATCGTTCCTGTTCAGGCATCAGTGCGTGAATTCTGCCGTCCTCACTTTGTTCCATGTCAGATTTTACTGTTCCGCCAAATTCGTATTTCCCTGCTTGGTTCTTATATCCGTTGCAGTCAAGCTCACGACTCCCCCCGCGTCCCCTGTTGCCGTTGTTTCACTGAAACTGCAGTTGCACTGTCACCGCAGCTTCCACTGAAACAGCAATGGTACGTTTCATCAGCCACTTCCCTCTCCCTCTCCTTACGTCCAATCCTCCCTCTTCCCCTCCTCCTCTCCCCCTTCCCCCCCCGCACCTCCCCCTCCTCTTCGTCATTCTCCCCTACCTCCCCTCGTTTCCTTCTTCTACATCTGCTAAGCTCTATGATGGGCTATGCATGGTACGAAGGGCCATGCATGGGATGACGGGCTATGCATGGGATGAGCCATGCATGGGATGAACGGCTATGCTTGGGGTGATGGGCTATGCATGCGATGAAGGGCCATGCATGAGATGATGGGCTATGCATGGGATTATGGGCTATGCATGGGATGATGGGCTATGCATGGGATTATGGGCTATGCATGGGATGATGGTAGGCCGTGCATAATATGTTGTACATGATAAGGCATGCATGCATTAGCTCTACCCTTGACGATGAACCTGGGAGTGGGGGTTACCCTGCTGTCCTAACTATTACCCTCCCATCTATACCCTCCCCGTCCCACCGTTGCAGGGCGAGTCGCTGTCATTTCCAGCGCTGTTTGTGAGAGCAAGGGCTGTTCGCCTGCTACGTGTACCGAGCATGTGTACATTGAGCCGGCAAGGGGCTTGCTAAGCTATCCTTTGTACAGATATTATATTGTTCCGGTAACAGTTTGTATATCGGTGTACATGGTGAAACAAAATCACATATTAATGACATGCGCACACATAACACAAGCATGTACAGCACTCTCTACATAATGTACAGCCGCACACACCTAGGTTCACTGGCTGCACGCCAGCAGCGGTCCTAGCTAATCGTAAAAGCCCATCGTCCCCACACTCTCTAACGTCTGGCTGCTGCAGAGTCTGCTCCACATACAGTAGGCGACTCAAAGATTTGCCAATGATGCAGGTGAGGTGAGTCGATCCTCGGGGGGGCAGGGCTAGACAATGGGGCAGTCTAGCTGCAGGGTTACAAGCCCTGGTGCCGCTCGCCAGCTCTGGAGACAAACAGCAAGCACAAGGGCAGTAGGGGCAAATTGTCAGGCAGGAGGGTGTTTGTCGCATTATTACCGTACCGCTGCTTCCCCTCGCTGAAATGCGTGCCTCTACGGCCGGGCTGCACCGAGAAAGGGCGGACAAAAGGAGGACGAATAAAGGTGAAGGAACGTACTTGGGCCTGGGCCACCCTCACGAATGGCACTCGCGCACAGTGGTAGAACATACACGGCCAAAGGGGGGCAGACGACGAGATAGAGTCGTACCTGAGCCTGAGTCCACCCTCACGAATGTCACTCGCCCACAGTCATCCATGACCGCTTCAGACGGTGCAGTGGTGGTTTTACAAGCCACACGGTAAGCACACAAGGACAGGAAGGAGGGCACACGACGAGAGAGTCGTACCTGAGCCTGAGCCACCCTCACGAATGTTACTCGCGCACAATCATCCATGACTGCTTCGGATGGTGCAGTGGTGGGTTCACCAGCAGCCATGCTCGCATTACCCGCGCTTCCCCTTGCCGCAGTGCGAGCCGCTACAGCCGGGCTGTAGCGGGCCAGGGCGGCAGCTGCGGCAGAAAGCGTGGAGGCGCATCTAGAGGCAGGCTGTATCTGCAGAGGCGCATGCCTTGGCCAGGCGAGTGACGTTCTGACTGCAGGGAGCAGGAGGGGAGGGCGGGAAGGCGGGAGGGAGAGCGGAAAGAGGGGAGAAGTTCGGAGGGACACAGGAGCAGACAGGGAAGGGATGAATAGGAGCAGACAGAGGGGAGGCGCATCTGGAGCTGGTTGTATCTGTCTGTTGCGAGGCACATGCATGTGAAAGGCACATGACCTGCAGGAAGCTGGGATGAGTTGCAGGTATGAAGGAGGAGAATAGGAGATGACAAAGTCAGATCAAAGTCGTGGACCCACAATACTGGGCACTTAAACTTGGCGGATCCACTGTCACCAAAGGCAGCAGACTGCAACGTGAGAGAAGGAGAATACCTTGTTGTTGAGAGAATATGCCCTGCATGAGAACAAGGCACTTATTCTGCAGACATGGCTGTTCTCATCAGACATGCCTTATACACTTACAGTCGATCCACGTCCTGCACCCACACCACAGGGCACTTGTTGCTTGGCGGATCCACCGCCACCAGAGGGAGCAGACTGCGACGAGATGAGGCTGAAGAGGAGGAGGAGGAGGAGGAGGAGGCGTTGGTGGGAGGGTTGCAGAGGGAGAAGACATTGGCAGTGATGCGCGGGCGCACAGGGGACGCCTGCAGATGCGCCTGGAGGGACTGGGTAGCGGATGAGGGGAGGGAGATGGGCAGAGAGAGAGGAGAGAGACCACACGAAACGGAGGAAGGCTCAGAGTCGAAGCCTTTTAAATCAGAGCTGGGAATCAGGTCAATGGGCAGTGATGCGCGGGCGGACAGGTGATGCCTGCAGATGCACCTGGAGGGACTTGGGAGCAGAAAAGGGTGGGAGTTGAGGAGCAGAGAGACACACGAGTGCAACATGTTATTTGTCAGAGTTGGGGATCAGGGCATTGGCAGTGATGCGAGGCCGAGCAGGTGATGCCTGCAGATGCACCTGGAGGGACTGGGGAGCGGATGAGAGAGGGAGAGGGGCAGAAATACCACAAAAAACGGGAGAAGTCAGTGGGCTTCATGAGTCAGAATTGGGCTTGTCGACAGTGACGTGAGGAGGAACAGCCACGTGTAGAAAGTGAAGTTTTGAGACGGATCAAAACTTCACCTTTTACACGAGCCTTACGAGTCAAAGTTGGGCTTGTCGACAGTGACGTGAGGAGGAACAAGGGATGGCTACAGGTGAGCCTGGCAGGTCGTTGGGAGGTTTGCCCTTGATTTCTGAGATGTCTAGCCTGCACCAGCTTCGCAGTACCTTCCTGCAAGGGGTGTTGAGCTCGGGCTGTGTGGTGATGGCGAGGAAGAACATGGGCTCCCTCACAGCGAAGCTCCTCTGAAACGCCAACAGCGGCCCGCAGCATGCGTCTGGGGATGGAGACGGGCCAGAGCAGGCCGAGAGAGCTGGAGGTGATAAAAGGCACGGGGGAAATGAAGAGGCAGGCGAGGCGGTGAGGTGAGAAACAGAGGTGAGACATGTTTAAGCCGAGTAGGTGCCAGAGCAGACCGATATGGGCGGAGCATGTGCAGACGAGAAAACCGAAAGGGAAAGAGAAAAGAAATGGGGGACGGCTGGAATAGGTACAACTTTTTTGAGAATTCTCAGACACCGACTTGAACAGCCCGTGGATGCATGCGTCTTTTTCACATCTAAAATGGTGCAAGAATGAATATACTGGCAGTCACACGCACCGATTGTAACAGCACCGTGGATAATGCTTGAACTGTGGGTGCAAAGAAATCTAAAAGCATATATGTGATGTTCCGGTTGGAGAGGCAGGTGAAGTCCACGTCACAGCCGTAGGTTGGAATCGTTGGTAGGGGAGCTGGTACCGGGCTTGCCCTTGCCCTGCTGCCACCGCTGCTGTTGCTGCTGCCGCTGCCAGGGCTAACAGGGCTGGAAAAAAATCCTACGAGCATACAGAAAGGGGATGGACAACGTACAGGTGATGTTCCCGTTGGCGAGGGCACTGAAGTCCACGTTACAGCCGTAGGACGGAATCGCTGGTGGGGGGCGGTGGCACCGGGCTTGCCCTTGCCCTGCTGCCACTGCTGCTGCTGCTGCTGCTGCTGCTGCTGCTGCCACTGTTGCCACCTGGGCTGCTGCTGTTGTTGCCTGCTGTTTATGGTGAAACTTCCGCCATCAGTGGTATCATCTTCATCAGTGGTGGTGCCGGGTGGAGTGGTGGTGCTGGGAGGAGTGGTGGTGCTGGGAGGAGTGGTGGTGGGGGGAGTGGTGGTGCCGGGGGGAGTGGTGGTGCCGGGGGGAGTGTCGTCAGGACCAGCGGCTCTAGGTCGGCTTGAGGTCGCATTCGTGTCCGCTGCATCGGCGAGAGAAGCGATTACTGGCAGAATGAGCAGCACCAGGAGGACCAGCTCGAGGCAGCTGCTCAGGGAAAGACAATGCAAGACACACAGAAAAAGGAAAGAAACAAAGAAATACACTTTGTTTCTATACATGAATTAAATAAATAGAGAAGAACAAGGAATCGCCACGATTCTTTCCACTCGCATAGAGGCGAGTTTTGAAGCGTCTCAAAAGCAGAAGCGAGTTTTGAAGCGTCTCAAAAGCAGAAGCGAGTTTTGAAGCGTCTCAGAAGCAGAAGTGAGGTTTGAAGCGTCTCAAAAGCAGAAGCGAGTTTCATACTGACAATTGAAGGACGGAAGCAAGGAAGCAAGCAAGGAAGGGGGATTTCGTCACCATTGCCTTCAGCAAGCAGACTGTTGCAAACTGCCATGAAAAACGAGGAACGGGCTTGAAGTATGGAGTGACAAACGTACCGTTTCATAGCTTGCTCAGACGAGGAGGCCATGCGCTTCATGTTGACGGTAAGGGGTAGTGAGAAGTGGTGACAATTGGTGTGACGGGGTAAAGAGTGGTGATACGAGGTAAAACGCGGCGAGAGATGGTAATAAATGGTGCGCAGAGGCGTTTCCACTGAACGTCAGATTCGTTGAACGATCGAATCCTCAAACCCGCGAGATGACGCAATCTCAAGTGGCCTATCCGCTGGTTATGGTAGTCCATATTTAAACAACTGAGCTTGGCGACGATTCCTAGAATCTCAGGCAATTTCGTGGACTGAACAGGAGAAATAGCAGCGCGGCTCGAGGAGGTACAGTGAAGGAGTGTTTGTAGCGGGAAAAACGAATGGAGCGAGTCAGTCTGGGCCTCAATTAAACTAAATTCACGTCGTTCAGTCCAAGACGCGCTCGATTCAGCATCTCAATTGACGAGAACGACTTTCTCTACAAATACGAGCGAATTGGTTGCGGGTCCTGTGCGATGGAGCATATGTCCTCTTTCAGTTCCGTAATCCCAAGGGTCCCTATCTCCCGTGTTTCGTGCTTTTGAATTTCCACGGCCTTGATATGTGGCTGATTTGAAGTCAAATTTGATCAGGACGCGATTTTCAAAGGCAAAACTCCACTGAAATGAGATGGCGACAGGCAATCAAGCACAGCAAGTTCATGCAGAGTGTCGATTATGTGGACCGCGTGACACGATTGTGTCGCTGCAGCTGTGTCAAGCTGTTGTTGTTTAGTGCTTACATAAAATAATTAGAGAACCGTGCACATTTCTCATGCTTCATATACGCCCTGGAAAGCTGGGAAGTGCAGCCTGCTTGAGGCCCGTATCCCCGGTTTTGTATGCGGCGTTATGGCAACGCCTTTGCAGCACGGAAATCGTATTTCTGTTTTTATTATGCGAAATTGCGGCGGCCCTCTCTCATTGGCAGAGAAGCGCTTGGCCCAAATCGCAGTGCCGGGGCGCGTAACGGTTACTGTAGAGAGTTCTTCCCTACCGTCGCACCCAATCGCTGTGGAACTTCCAGAAGTTCGTGAACCTCGTGGACTTAGAGAGAGATCCACCCGTCCGTCCATCTCTTGGCAAAAACGGTTGGGAAAATATCAAATAGGGGCCGAACAATAGCAGGGAGGTGACCGAATTAGGGCCAGGTTGATCCCAACCGTCAGATATACCCCTTGGGGCTGCCAAAGTGGTTGGGCCAAGAATCCGAGCCAAGATAAAAAGGAAATTGCTTTTTGCTCAACTTTCTTGGTTCAATAATGTTTTCATGGTTATGATCGCCGCCTAATACGAAGCTTGCGTCACATTCCTCTGGAAGTAGGTTTCGTCATGTTTGTTTTTTTGGAAATGAAATGCGTAATCGTTAAAAAAAACATCACTTTAGCTGACATAAATAATAACACCCGTTCGGAAATGGATGCGACTCGGGAGGCATCAACCCTAAACACCAGGCGGGTTCCCGTGTTTAGGGTTGATCCATCCTGGAAATGCGTCCAGGTTCCCTATTGGTTCTAGTTTGTTTTAGGATGCCCTAACATTTCCCGGTAGCGTCGATACCGCCGGTAGCGCTACCTGGCTTGCTAAACGACGCTACCGGATGAAAAAATTATTCATTTACGATATCCTAAGAATATTGAGGTGTGAGCGAAAATGCACGCCGTGACGAACCTCTCTGTTAATCCCCCCTGTCCCAGCGGTTTGGTCAGTTTCGGGCCTCTCGGCCCCTGGTCGATCACTTGTGCGGCCCCTCTTTGATCATTTCCCAAAACGGTTGTTGGTTGGTTCAGCACCAACGACGGAGGGCCGTATCGTGGCTGTGGCCCGAGGGTCTAAGGGCGCGTCAGACTTCTTCACTTTCGGTTCAGTAACTGCGGTGAAGAAAGGTTATGTGCTTTCTAGAGCGGTGATTTGCTCCACCGCGTTTAACCGTCACCCACCAGTCTGAACAGTGATTCATGAGCTGAAACGAACTCGTATGACACGCCTGATGGGAGGTGACAGACAGGAGGGAGACTGGATGTGGCTGTGAAGAGGAGATGAAGGGAAGGGACACGAAGGCCCCAGGGAACCGGCGTGAGGCATGACAAGAGAGGCCTGTTGGTGTTGTGGTTGTGGTTGTGGAGCATCCACGATTCCACATGCTAGCCTGGGATGGGAACAAGGGAGATGAAATGAACGACGAGACTTTGGTACAGCATGACATCGCAGTGCAGTTTTGGGATGTCGACTTTGATGCTCTGGCTCGCCCAGGCGCATTTCAAGAGCGGCTGTGAGCTACCAACCGTAACCTCTGACCCTGCTGTACTCAGTTGATACTAATATATGAACGTACTGACTGTAATCTACTCGCATCCATCACTGCAAAGCGGAATCGGTACTAATTCCGTAAGGTTTGCACTGATTCGAGATACCTGTGAAATTCGGTAGGGTGACGTGGAACCTAGACCGAAAGAAATGGTCGTTAGATTACCCGACATGGAAATGCGAGCAAGGAAGTCGGCGGTTGTCAGCGCGACACGACAAGATACATTACATGAGACGGATTCCGTCACGGAAAATCGCGCCGTTAGCGGTGCGCGAGAGCCAGCTTTGGTGACGGCGACGTCCAGAAGTCGACCGCGGCTCGAGCGGCAAGAGCCAGATTTTGACGAGCCGCGAAGCACGGCGGAGGAAGGAAGAGAAAGAGTGAAATTCGTCAATGCGGAGGGGAAATCGTCTTTCGAGAATTCTCAAAACGGATTTGCGAATGGAAAGGAGGGGACGAAACGTGGAACCGATGGGAAGGAGAAAGCGCGATTCACGGATCGTAGCGGGATCCACGGACGAGGGGGAGGGACGGGAGGTGCTTCTAATAGCAAGGCGTTGATTTGCATGGCGCTGCTGGCTCTGCAGTACGGCTTGCAGCCGATTCTCACGAGGAAGCTGCTCAGGTGATGGATGCTTGCGATGCGAGTGAGGTGATGAATGGCGTGATAGGGTAACAATGTAACAGTGTTTCTCCGGTGTATTCAATGGTTTGCATCATGGCGCTACTGGCTCTGCAGTATGGCCTGCAGCCGATTCTCACGAGAAAGCTGCTAAGGTGATGGATGCGTGCAAATGCGGACCGCCTTCCTTATCCCCGTCAGGCGGCGTTGTCTGTTGCTTGGTCCTGCCCCGAATCTCCTTGCCTTTCCTCCCCAACTCTTCTGTCCGTTCTATCCTCAACTGAATCCCCCCCCCCCCCTCCCTCCCTCCCTCCCTCCCTCCCTCCCTCCCTCCCTCCCTCCCTCCCTCCTCCCTCCCTCCTCCCTCCCTCCCTCCCTCCCTCCCTCCCTCCCTCCCTCCCTCCCTCCCTCCCTCCCTCCCTCCCTCCTCCCTCCCTCCCTCCCTCCCTCCCTCCCTCCCTCCCTCCCTCCCTCCCTCCCTCCCTCCCTCCCTCCCTCCCTCCCTCTCTCCCTCCCTCCCTCCCTCTCTCCCTCCTCCCTCCCTCTCTCCCTCCCTCCCTCCCTCTCTCCCTCCCTCCCTCCCTCCCTCCCTCTCTCCCTCCCTCCCTCCCTCCCTCCCTCCCTCCCTCCCTCCCTCCCTCCCTCCCTCCCTCCCTCCCTCCCTCCCTCCCTCCCTCCCTCCCTCCCTCCCTCCCTCTCTCCCTCCCTCCCTCCTCCCTCCCTCTTCCCTCCCTCCCTCCCTCCTCCCTCCCTCCCTCCCTCCCTCCCTCCCTCCCTCCCTCCCTCCCTCCCTCCCTCCCTCCCTCCTCCCTCCCTCCTCCCTCCCTCCCTCCCTCCCTCCCTCCCTCCCTCCCTCCCTCCCTCCCTCCCTCTCTCCCTCCCTCCCTCTCCTCCCTCCTCCCTCCCTCCCTCCCTCCCTCCCTCCCTCCCTCCCTCCCTCCTCCCTCCCTCCCTCCCTCCCTCCCTCCCTCCCTCCCTCCCTCCCTCTCTCCCTCCCTCCCTCTCTCCCTCAATCCCTCTCTCCCTCCCTCCCTCCCTCCCTCTCTCCCTCCCTCCCTCTCTCCCTCCCTCCCTCCCTCCCTCCCTCCCTCCCTCTCTCCCTCCCTCTCTCCCTCAATCCCTCTCTCCCTCCCTCCCCATCCCTCCCGCTGTGCAACTCCCATCCCTCGTTCCGAAACCAACAGTCGTGACGTGCTGATATCGAGTCAGGTCATCACCTGCGAAGTCCTCAAGGTGAGCACCCCCGCCTCTAGAGCCCCCGCCTCTAGAGCCCCCGTCACTCCTCAAAGGGCTTCCCCTCTCCCACTCGATAAAACATTTTCCCACCTCTTCCCCGTACCACCCCCACACAGCCACTCTTTCGCTTCCTCGCATTCTGAATTCCCTCGTTCTCCTTGACCAATCATTGCCACCCACCCTCACTCCGCACCGCCAGACTCTTTCCATAACCCCCCCCCCAGTTCCTACAGGTCATTTACTGTACTAAAGTTCCTCCTGGCGTTCATCATTGTATTTTCCACCCGTGAAATGCCATCATCATCCCTCTCCCACCACCCCCTCCTGCCTCCCCCTTCCCCACCCACCCCTTTCCAGCCATGTTTCTCGGCGGCTCTCTCTTCACCGTTTGACGCCACTGGTGCACCTTTTTATGCTCGCACATGCTCCCATTGCCTCTGCATACATTCTGCTGTCCTCTTTTCCCTTCCCCCCGATTTCTTCCTCTCCCATCCACACCACACGCAGGTCCTCATAGCCCTCACAGACGTCTGCTCATAGCCCTAACAGACGTCTGCTCATAGCCCTAACAGACGTCTGCTCATAGCCCCAACAGACATCTGCTCATAGCCCCAACAGACGTCTCCTCATAGCCCCAACAGACGTCTGCTCATAGCCGCGATTTCTTCCTAGACGGCTCTCTCTCTTCACCGTTTGGCGCAACTGGCACCACAAGTCACCCGTGCATTGACATCACCCGTCCCCCACTACCCTTCCACCACGCCACACGCAGGTTCTCATAGCCCTCACAGCCATGTTCCTGGACGGCTCTCTCTTCACCGTCTGGCGCAACTGGCACCTGCTGGACTCGTTAGAAGCTGCTGCGGTACCAGGCCTGCTGTACGCCGCCCAGAACACGCTCATTCAGGTGGCCCTGCGCCACCTGGACTACCTGACGTTCAACCTGCTGAACCAGACGAAACTCCTCTTCACCGCTCTCTCCAACTATCTGTTTCTAAGGTAAGAGTGAGGATGCAGTACAGTGGGAAAGAGGTGGAAAGGGAGTCACTTCATTCAGAACACGCTCATCCAAGTAGCCCTGCACCACCTGGACTACCTGACGTTCAACCTGCTGAACCAGACGAAGCTGCTCTTCACCGCCCTCTCCAACTACCTGCTCCTTAGGTGGGAGGAAATGAGGTGAAATAGGCCATCTGGACTATCTCACGTTCGACCTGCTGAACCAGAGAAACCTTCTGTTCACAGCCCTCTTCAACTACCTGTTACTCAGGTAAGAGGGAACGAAGAAGGGTGGGAAGAGGTGAGAAGAGGTGGGAAGAGGTGAGAAGATGTGAGAAGAGGTGAGAAGAGAGAGATTAAGCCATCTGGACCACCTGACCTTCAACCTGCTGAACCAGACGAAGCTTCTTTTCTCGGACCTGTCCAACTACTTCTTTCTCGGGTAAGAAGGAATGAGTGAAGGTGGGAAAGAGGTGATAATCCGCCAGACCCGACTGCAAAGCATCGCTCTCTGCCTGCTGCTCGTCGCTGCGAGGGAAGAAACGGAGTGAGAGCAAACGAACGACCGTTGTTCCTTCCCACCCTCTCAACCTATTCCTCTGAACCTTTTCCCCTCCTGTCTTGTCTCACTTCTCATCACAGAATCCGCCAGACCCGGGTGCAGATCGTCGCCCTCTGCATGCTGCTCGTCGCCGCCACGCTACTCACCCTCAGCCCAGGCCCTGCTTCTGGTCCGGGGCCTAAACCTGGCCAGACTCACGGAGCGAGTGCAGCAGGGGAGGCGCCGCCATCTATGGCTGCTGGCGCGGCTGCCACTGCTGCTGCGGCGGCGGCTATTGTAGCAGCAGGCGTGGCCTGGGAGAGAGTGGCGCTGGGAGTGGTGCCGGTGCTGGTGGCGTCTGTGACCTCTGGGCTGGGATCAACGCACAACCAGTGGCAAGTGCAGGTGTGTGCGTGGGGGGTGGTGGTATTGTCCTGTCCTGGCGTCTGCGTGTAATGAGTCGAGTTTTTAGTCGACTCGTGTGTAATGAGTCGAGTTTCGAGTCGAATCGTGTGTAATGAGTCGAGTTTTGAGCCGACTCGTGTGTAATGAGTCGAGTTTCGAGTCGAATCGTGTGTAATGAGTCGAGTTTTGAGCCGACTCGTGTGTAATGAGTCGAGTTTTGAGCCGTCTCAAAACTCGACTCATTACATGTGTGCGTGGGGGGGTGGTGGTATTGTCTTGTCCTGGCGTCTCATCATTCAGCTCTTTCCCCTTGTCTCGTCTGGTCTTGTCTCGGTGCAGGTCAAGAGGCGCAGCCCACATCTATTCACCATCGAGATGTGTTCCCTCACGTCCCTCGTCCTGCTCGTCTCTCTCTTCACTTCCCAAGACGGCGCCCGCATGTTGCAACTCGGCTTCTTCCACGCATGGACGCCACTCACCATCGTAAGAAGCATCAAGTCGTGCTTGCTCCCCTTTCTTGCCACTGTGCGTGCACCATCATGCATGCACATCACTGTTCCTATCCTCTCCTTCCAAGACGCTGCTGCTCGCATGTTGCGCCCCGGCTTCTTCCACGCCTGGACGCCCCTCGCCATAATGAGTCAGCATGCATTCATCCTGCCAATCGCGACTCTGACTCACTACCGTGCGCTGTGTAGTTTGAGGCGCCTCAAAATACACCTCAATGCATTCATCCTGCCATGCCAATCGCGACTCTGACTCACTACTGTGCGCCGTGCGGTGCTATCACTGCTCCCCGTCTCCCTCCTCTCCTCCCAGGACTTCTCTCGCATGCGAGTGGATTCCCACCCATTCCCACTTTCAACTGTTGAGGCGCCTCAAAACTCAAACTTCGATCGCATGGGAGCTGAACCCTGCCCATTCTCAATATCGCTATAACCCCCAACCCCCCAGATTCCAGCTCGGTCAAATGCCATAGAGGGCACCCTCGTAGGCCTTGTGCACAAGCATGCCTTTTCCTGCCCACCCCTACCCTTATCCTCGCTTCCGCTCTAACCCCATCCCTATCCCACCTCATCGCCACCCGCCAGATTCCAGCTCAGTCAAACGCCATAGGGGGCATCCTCGTGGGGCTTGTGACCAAATATGCCTTCTACTTCTCACCCCTACCCCAACCCCCACACACACCCCCTTCTCCCCCCCCACAACCCCAACCCCACGCCCCACCCCACCCCCCAGATTCCAGCTCTATCAAACGCCATAGGAGGCATTCTTGTGGGGCTTGTGACCAAATATGCAGGGGGGCGTTAAGAAGGTATGCTGGGGGAGGGGATAGGTGGTGGAGGCGGGGCGGGTGTCATAAGAGGGTTCACTGGGTTGTGGGGATTTCTTTCCTACTGTATTCATGCCACCATAATAGTCTAGGATCTTTCATTCAAAGCCATAGAACCAGCCCATCCAGACGGTCTGCTGGTAACCAGCATACTGCAGTATGCTCTCGACTCTACGGCATGGCGGTCTGCTGGTAACCGCCATACTGCAGTATGCTCTCGACTCTACGGCATGGCGGTCTGCTGGTAACCGCCGGTCTGCTGGTAACCGGCACGCCTCTCCCCATGCCGCTCTCCCCATGCCGCTCTCCCCATGCCGCTCTCCCCATGCCGCTCTCCCCATGCCGCTCTCCCCATGCCGCTCTCCCCATGCCGCTCTCCCCATGCTGCTCTTCCCCCCCCTCCCCCTCTTCTCCCCATGCTGCTCTCCCCCCCCCCACCCCCTCTTCTCCCCATGCTGCTCTCTCCCCCCCACCCCCTCTTCTCCCCATGCTGCTCTCCCCCCCCCCACCCCCTCTTCTCCCCATGCTGCTCTCCCCCCCCCACCCCCTCTTCTCCCCATGCTGCTCTCCCCCCCCCCCACCCCCTCTTCTCCCCATGCTGCTCTCCCCCCCCCACCCCCTCTTCTCCCCATGCTGCTCTCCCCCCCCCCCACCCCCTCCTCTCCCCATGCTGCTCGTCCCTTCTCTCAACCCACACTCCTTCCCTCACAGGGTTTCACAGTGATAGCGGATCTGCTGGTAACCTCTAGTGCAGTATGCTCTCGACGGCACGCCTCCCTCTCTCTTCATCTGGATGGCACTTCCACCCATTGCTGCTCTCTCTCCAAAACACCTTGAAACTTCTCCCTTTCTCACTCCCACAACCCTCCTTCCTCCTTGCTCCTTCCCTCTCGCAGGGGTTCACAGTGATAGCCGGTCTGGTGGTAACCGCCATAGTGCAGTATGCTCTCGACGGCACACCTCCCTCCCTCTTTGTGTGGCTGGCCCTCCCCCTCACCGTCCTTAGCACCTACCTCTACTCCTCCTCCGCTGCTCCCTCTCCTGCTGCTGCGACTAAGAAGAGCAAGGAGCTCTAAGCTTTAGAACAGTTTGTTGGGGGACTTTTCTCTGGCAAAGAGCTGCTGACACAAGTACTACTGCTGCTGCTGCTGCTGCTGCTGCTGCTGCTGCTGCTGCCTTCTTGCTTCCTTCTTTTCTGCTTCCTATACCAGTCATACACATGACTTGGTCTTCCTTCTGCAAGCGTATCTTTTGCCTATTTGCCTGCTAGGAAGATCCCTAAAGACCTGGCTAGCTGCCAGCTACCCCAGGGTGCCAGTAGTGCGGCAGGTGCATAATAAAGTTTGTTTTTCACATGTACAGTGCGATGTATCACAATGGCAGCTGTTGTATGTACATTATTGCCATTCATGAAAAAATTAATCAAGCATGCATAGCATAACAGTTTGACGTACCTAGTATTCTACTCACTACAAACTAAATACAATACGGTATGGAAAATCTCCTGATGTTGTTAGTCCTCTCTGCTGTGAGTTGCTGTCTACAACGCAGGACCGGTTGCACCGTGCTTCTTGGTCCGGCTGAACACAACAAACCCTTCAGAGAGTTTGTCCAGCGGATCCATCCCTGATGCTGCTAGGTTCTGTTGTCTACACCACAGAAGGGCTTGTTGCAGTGCTCTTCTTGGTCGGGCTGAACACAAACCCTTCAAACAGAGGTGACTTTTGAGTCGACTCAAAAGTCCTCTCTGCTGTGAGTTGCTAACTTGGTATCTACAACTCAGGACCAGTTGCACCATGCTTCTTGGTCGGGCTGAACACAAACCCTTCAAACAGAGAGTTGTCAAGTGGATCCAATCCCAAGGCTGCATGCGTATCAATCGTCAGGTTTGGTTTCGCACCTCCCCCTGCCTTTCCCCCACCCCCTGTGTTTCCAGTCTTCCCGGCATGCCCCTTGTCAGCGCCAGCTGGAGCTTTATCATTGGTGGAGGTCTGGCCGGTCTTTGCAGGGGCGTTGGTGGGCTTCGCTGTACCTGCAAGCATCCACATTGGCAGATGTTGCAAATCAAACGGGAGAGAGACGGATGCAGGGAGAGGAAAAGACTTTTGAGACGTCTCAAAAGGCGTTGGTGGGCTTCATTGCACCTGCAAGCGTATACATTGGCAGATGTTGCAAATCAAACGGGAGAGAGACGGATGCAGGGAGAGGAAAAGACTTTTGAGACGTCTCAAAAGGCGTTGGTGGGCTTCATTGCACCTGCAAGCGTACACATTGGCAGATGTTGCAAATCAAACGGGAGAGAGACGGATGCAGGGAGAGGAAAAGACTTTTGAGACGTCTCAAAAGGGGTTGGTGGACTTCATTGCACCTGCAAGCATCCACATTGGCAGATGTTGCAAATCAAACGGGAGAGAGACGGATGCAGGGAGAGGAAAAGACTTTTGAGACGTCGCAAAAGGCGTTGGTGGGCTTCATTGCACCTGCAAGCGTACACATTGGCAGATGTTGCAAATCAAACGGGAGAGAGACGGATGCAGGGAGAGGAAAAGAATTTTGCGACGTCTCAAAAGGCGTTGGTGGACTTCATTGCACCTGCAAGCGTACACATTGGCAGATGTTGCAAATCAAAACGAGAGAGAGACGGATGCAGGGAGAGGAAAAGACTTTTGAGACGACTCAAAAAGGCGTTGGTGGGCTTCATTGCACCTGCAAGCGTACACATTGGCAGATGTTGCAAATCAAACGGGAGAGAGACGGATGCAGGGAGAGGAAAAGACTTTTGAGACGTCTCAAAAGGCGTTGGTGGACTTCATTGCACCTGCAAGCGTACACATTGGCAGATGTTGCAAATCAAACGGGAGAGAGACGGATGCAGGGAGAGGAAAAGACTTTTGAGACGTCTCAAAAGGCGTTGGTGGGGCTTCATTGCACCTGCAAGCGTACACATTGGCAGATGTTGCTAATCAAATGGGAGAGAGACAGATACAGGGAGTGAGAGGGGAGGACAGGGAGGTAAGGAGAGAGTAAGAGGGGGTTGAGAGAAGGGTAAGGCGAGGAGGTGACAAAAGGGATGTGGAAGGGCGAAAGCTTGAGGGGAAAGATGAGGTGAAGGGGGTTACAGGGAGATGGACAGTTATAGTTACTCTGGTGGTTGTCTGTGGGCGCAGCAGAGGAGGTGACAAAAGGGACAAGGATGTGGAGTGGGGGAAAGAGGGGGGGGGGAAGAGGGAGGGGGGGAGTGGGGGTACGAGGAGATGGGCAGCATACAGTTACCATGGTGGCTATCAGCGGGCGCAGCAGACGAGGGTGGCTCCAAGGGATCGCTGATGTGAAGGCCGGTGAAGCTCTTATCGAAGTTTGACACGTCCTCTATGCCCTGTTGGGTCGACATTTCAGCACAGCAACAGGTAGGAGAGGAGGGATGGAGGGCTGCGCATGAGAAGGAATAGCGAGCATAAGAAGGTCCCAACTAAACCTCTCTCCCTATGAGACATTTCGGACCAAATCTGCAGCACCTGTCACTCTACCCCACTCACCTGGCTGCTACAGATCGCTCACGTCACAAAAAGAAAATCCCACTCCACATCACTCACCTTGCTGGTGGGCACGAATGGGGGAGGCACCTCCCTGGCATACAGCCTGTCCCAGTCCATGCCTCTGAAGCACACATCACTCTACCGCACTCACCTTGCTGCTACAAATAGATCACGTCACAAAGAGCAAATTGCACTTCACCCCACTCACCTTGCTGCTGGGTACAAACAGGGGAGGCACCTCCCTCGCATACAGCCTGTCCCAGTCCATGCCTCGGAAGCACACATCACTCTACTGCACTCACCTTGCTGCTGCAAATAGATCACGTCACAAAGAGCAAATTGCACTTCACCCCACTCACCTTGCTGCTGGGTACAAACGGGGGAGGCACCTCCCTGGCATACAGCCTGTCCCAGTCCATGCCTCGAAAGAACTCGTGCCTCATGATCTCCGCAGCGTCAGTCGGGCCCGCTCCGAGCCTCTGGCTCGGCTCCCGAATCAGCAGCTGGAAAGAAGGTTGGTAGGGAGGGTATGTGGATGGATGAGTTGGGAGCCGGTGGAGAGGAGTTTAGCGAGGTATGGGAAGAGCTAAATGCATACTGGGGTTATATTTTGGGGAACATGATCAAAGGGGGCAAATAAAAGATGCACTTTCTGTATAAAATCTGCAACTGTAGTTATAATATTGTTGCGTGGTAATCAATGCTCAAACATGGATGAGTTTTTGCACCTCAGAGATAAGGATTTTCTCCCAGGAAAGACTAGGACTCTCACCTTGGAAATGAGATCGCGGAGATAAAAATTGGTGACGGTAACGGGGAAGACGAGAGGCGCGTTCACTATCTTGTTGTACATTATGTTCACATTGCGATCGTAGAAGGGCGGCTGGTGGAGGGAAGAGGCGAAATGGGAGAAACACCGACGCAAGTTTCTGGAACGACACACCACAATATTGTGACCATGAAAGGGCGGATGGGGGGAGGGGAGATAAGAATTTGGATAAGAACAGATGCAATGTGGGGGGAGGGTAGATGGGAGGATGACTTCTGAGTCGACTAGGAGCTGACCACTTAGCAAACACACCACTCCATGCACTCACCACACCGACCACCATTTCAAAGAGGAGAATCCCGAGGCTCCACCAATCCACAGCCCTACCATGCCCCTTGCCTCTCAGTACCTCCGGAGCTGTTTGGGGGAATGGGGGTTTGGGATGGGGTGGGATTACTGAGGAGGAGGGTGGGTGAAGTGCATTTGTAGGTGGGAAACGACAGGAATAAGAGTTGGCATGAAAGGTGATGATGGTGATAAGCAGGGGGGCTGGGTTGGCCAATGAAGCATGCCATGTGAGGGCGAATGCAATAGGCTCAGAGGTGGCTTCGCCCGGACTTGAACCGGAGACCTTCAGTGTGTTAGACTGACGTGATAACCAACTACACCACGAAACCGATGTCAGCCCAGAAAACAGTTAATCTATAAACAAACATCCGTAGTCCTGGAGGCTGACCTAGATACTCGGTGTGCCGCAAAATGTGGAAGCCGATGAGTTGTCGGCGATGTGCTCTTTGGCCAATCCGAAGTCCGCGATGCGCACGTGACCTGGCGCGGCGCGGTAGTGGATAACGAGATGGATGGACAGGAATGTGCAATGCGGATAACACCACCATTATTCAAATGGCATAGCATCAGATTATTCAGCTCAGAAGTCTAGAGTCAGTATGACAGGACAATGAGGTAAGAGTAGCTTCACCAGTTAGTTGTAACTGATTGTTGCTGACGGCTTACCTTGAGCGTCTAGGAGAATGTTCTCCGGCTTCAGGTCGCTGCGGCAGACAGCAGACCCATGGGAGCGAGATTACGATGGGGGGGGGGGGGGGGGGGGGGGGGGGGGGGGGGTTATGCGCAGAGGGTGGGGAAAGGGGGATGGGGGGGGGAAGAGAACATGAGAGAGATGAGTTTCAGGTCCTGGGGTTGAGCTGAAAGGGGCAGATATAGGGATATCAACCGCGCGGCGTAGGTCGGCGGCGCTCGCGCTTGACCGACCTACCCGTTACATACCAGTCGCGCAACCGTCGCATGCCAGTCGCATGCTAATGTATGACGCCTAGAGAATGCAGGTGCCCCAGCGCCAAAAGAAGCTCCGCGGCGTACAGGCGCGCGCGGTCGTCCTTGAACCGCCGCCTCTTTCGTTCACCCCCTAGTACCCGTCGCACGCCAGTCGCACAACTTGCGCACACTGGGCGCACACGTTTCGCACAGCCACATACCAGTAAATGACGCCCAGCGAGTGCAGATGCCCCAGCGTCAGAAGAAGCTCCGCGGCGGTAGAGGCGCGCGCGGTCGTCCTTGAAGCGCCTTTCCCGCAGCACTCACATATCATCCACATACAGTCGCACGGCTGTCGCACACCCGTCGCATACCGATAAATGACGCCCAGCGAGTGCAGGTGCCCGAGAGCCAGCAGCAGCTCCGCGGCGTAGAGGCGCGCGCGGTCGTCCTTGAATCGCCGCTCGCGCTTGAGGTGAAAGAAGAGCTCCCCGCCGGCATGAAGTCGAGGATGAGAAACAGGCGAGTTTCTGATTGGAGAGCCCATCTTAGAGGGACGAGGAACGGGTGCCGCACCTCCTGGGGGTGGGGGATGTGGGAGGAGCGTGGGAAGGGGTTGGGGAGTGTGGGTAAAAGAGAGGCAAGCTCAACCGTCCGCGCTTGAGGTGGAAGAAGAGCTCCTCGCCCTTCATGATGTTGAGTATCAGGAAGAGGCGCGTCTCGGACTGCAAGGCCCATCTTAGAGGGACGAGGAACGGGTGCCGCACCTCCTGCGGGGAAAATGGGAGACTCAGTTGATGAGCGAAGTGTGGGAAGGGGGAAGTGGGGGAGGAGGGGGGAGCGGGGGAAGTGGGGGAAGAGAAGTGGGGAGTGTGGGGAGGAAGTGGGGGGACAAGCATCCGCGCGTGAGGTGAAAGAAGAGCTCCCCGCCCGGCAGAATCGGGAAGAGACGCGTGTCGGACTGGAGGGGCCATCGCCGTGGCACGAGGAGAGGAGCCACGTGTAGAAAGAGTTTTTTTGAGACGTCTCAAGAATTCACTTTCTGCATGAGGAACGGGTGACGCACCTCCTGGGGGAAGGGGGGGAGAGTATGTGAGGGGATAAGCGGATGTGCGGTGTGCGGGTGAAAGAGAGGCATGAGGATCACGGATTCATCATCAGCAGTATCAGTGGAATGAGGTAGGGGTGACGCATCCTCCGGGAGGGGGAGATGAAGAAATGGATGAGGGAATGTGGGGAAGGGGGAAATGCGGGGAAGGGGAGAATGCGGGGAAGGGGGAATGTGGGGAAGGGGGGATGTGTTGAAAGGGAGGTGTGGGGAAGAGGGAAGTGGAGGAGGGATTTGGGAAAGAGGAATTTTTGGGGAAAGGGGGATGTAGGGAAGGGGGGAGGTGGGGAAGGGGGATGGGGAGGAGCGTGGGATGGGGCGATGAGGCGAAGGCTGAATGTGGTGAAGCGGGATGTGGGAAAGGGGGATTTGGGGAAAAGGGGAAGGTGGGGAAGGACACACAAAAACATATGATTGCACATACACATACACATACACATACACATACACATACACATACACATACACATACACATACACATACACATACACATACATTCAAATGCACACACGAATCCCCCTCCCGCGCTCCACCCACCAACCACACCCACCTGCAGCACATGTCGCTCCGTAAGTACACACTCACCCGGACAGCTGCTGCCGGCACATCACTGCCATACACACACCCCATTGACACAGCACACCCATGTCTCTCCTTGCATGCGCACCCACACCCACCTGCAGCACATGTCGCTGTGTGAGTGTGTGCTGCAGCTGCTGCAGGCACGTACACATTGAGTCCAATCCGCACCAACCCCCCCTTCCAAACACCCACCAACCGCACCCACCTGCAGCACGTGTCGCTCAGTGAGAGTGTGCTGCAGCTGCTGCCGCCGCATCACTGCCGCCTTGTCCAGCACCTTCATTGCAAACACCTGCCCGCTGGGGGCATGGCGCACCAGCAGCACCTGGAGGGGTGGATGGGTGAGGCAGGGATCATGAGAGTGGGTGCATGGGTAGGGTATGGCAGTGGGCACAAGGCGTCTCTCTGCTGCTGCCGTCGCATCACTGCCACCTTGTCTTGTCCAGCACCTTCATCGCAAACACCTGGCCACTGGTAGCGTGGCGGACCAGCAGCACCTGGAGAGACAAAGGGTGGGGCATGTGAAGAGGAACGGAAAGGAGTGGTGCAGCAATGGTGTACCACCTTTGTTGCAGCAATGTGTCGCATCACAAGGCGTCTCTTCTCTGCTGCTGTCGCCGCATCACTGCCGCCTTTGTCCAGCATCACCTTCATTGCAAACACCTGCCCGATGGAGGCATGGCGCACCAGCAGCACCTGGAGGGACGTTGGGGTGGGGGAGGGACGTTGGGGTGGGGGAGGGACGGAATCTCAACGCCCTCAGCAGCACGTCACTCAACTCACTCACTGCCTTCCTTGTCCAGCACCTTCATTGCAAACACCTGCCCGCTGGGGGCCTGACGGCCCACAAACATCCGAAAGCGGAAGGTGTAGTAGTAAAAAACGGTGGGCGGAAGGAGGCGACTTTTGAGTCGACTCAAAAGTCACGTCTGAAAGCGGAAGGTGTAGTAGTCAAAGACGGTGGGTGGAAGGAGGCGACTTTTGAGTCGACTGAAAAGTCACATCCGAAAGCGGAAGGTGTAGTAGTCAAAGACGGTGGGCGGAAGGAGGCGACTTTTGAGTCGACTGAAAAGTCACATTCGAAAGCGGAAGGTGTATATATCAGACGGTGGGCGGGATGGCAAAGCTGGCACTGAAGAAATACCTTCCAAGACCTTGATTGGGATGAAGCTCGCCACCTTGGTGAAGCTCCCGTTTTCTGAGAACCTTCCGAGGGACGTTCAGAAGCTTCAGAACCCTTGGCAGGACAAGATCTTATCAAATGGTACCTTGTTATAGATAGAGCACGGCTGATGGCGGTTGCAGTTACCTTGGCGAAGCTGCCCTTTCCGAGAACCTTCAGCGGGATGAAAATCAGTGATCTCCACAGGAGGTGCCACGTCAGCGTTGATGCTGCTGGCGACGATGTCAGCATCCTGCATTGACACGTCATTCTGGGTCATGGGGGGGAGGAGGAGAGAAGTGGGGTGGGTTCGGAAGCGGTTGGAAGCGGTGCAAGTGCAATGACTGGGATGGAACGAGTCTCCTGTGCTTATATCAAATTACATCATTGCACCATCAATCTATGCAATGACCGCTCATCACTCTCACCATCAAAGTTGCAGCACCGGCTGAGCCTTGTGATATCCCTGCCTTCTCCCCTGCTTCACCTCCCACCACCGTTTCTCCACGGGGGGAGGTGGGTGCAGAGAAGGGGAACACGCGGGCAGATGCTGCCGCCCAGAAGGGGCGGATGGACTGGGGGGGGAAGGCAGGGGGAAAGGAGGAGGGGGGAGAAGACGGGGAGGAGAGGGGGCAGTAGAACGGAGGGGAAACAGAAGGTGCATGGATGAACGAGGGGAACACACGCGTGCCGGTGCCACAGCCCAGAAGGGGCGGATGGACTGGGGGGGGGGGGGGGGATGGTGAGCGGGAAGGGGGGGGGCCATGGAATTCTCAACCACCAAGGGAATCGCGTTCATGAACAAAGAAAGATGTGAGCTTAGTCTGAAGATTAGAACGGGCGGATGGAGGGGCGAAGGAGCGCGAGAGAGGAGGTTGTGGGTGGGGAAGAACGGAGGAGGAGTTTGGGATGCTGAGCTGAGCTGTACGAAGGAAACCCCTCTTTGAGACGTCTCAAAACAATGAAGGTCGAAACAGGAAGGAGAAGGGGTTCGCTCCTCATTCCCTGGAGAAGTAAAGGAGGAGGAAAAAA